CATGCAGCTGGACACAATCTGGAGGTGGATGGCCATATAAGCCAAAGACCAGACCACAGACACAGACGGGGGGTGGAGAGCACCCGAGGCAACCAGATGACCAGTCCTTGGCTGCCCTCCAGCCTCTCCAACCCCCAGAACTTCATAAATCCTCCCAGTCATATCCCCAACCTCCAGGCTCCAGCCCCCAGATCACAATGGGGTCTGTAAATCCATGCAGTCCCCGCTGGTAGGTGATGGTAAGGCCAGAAATAAGCTGGCCATATCTCCTCCTCTACTTGGCTGCTAGGCATCAGGCCACCGCCACCATCGTCTCGCCATCAAGCCATTGCCATTGCTGCCCCGGCTGCCACCGTCGACACCGTCCGGACCCAGGCCCCTCAGCATATCCCAGGACCACCAGCAAAATATCCAGGGCCTGGGAGGGGGGGCGCTCCATACCGCCACTGCCACCGCCACACCCACAGCTGCCGCCACTCTGGCCTCCAATGCTGAAGAAGGTTGCTGCACCCAGGCCGCCGCCGCCGCCATCCTGCATCGCCTCCCGTGTCAGCTCCAACCCAGCCATGTCATTCCAGAGGGCAAAAAAGCCCTCAACAGGCTGGGCAGAGACTCCCCTAGCCGGGGCTGGAGCCACAGATGGTTAAATCAGCCCCCAAAGCCCCCAAACAACCAGAAACCGTCCCATCGTCAGGCGTGGCTCACACGGACAGCGCCATCTTGGGGCATGCACAGAAGAAAAACTTAAGATTTTAAAAAATAGACTGGATAACCATTTGACCAGAATAGTATAAGCTCTCCTGCCTTAAGCAAGGAGTTGGACTAGAAGACGTCCGAGGTCCCTTTCAGCCCTATGATTAAATTACCATTAGTTTAGATTACCATTTAAAAAAGAGGACTATATTCCTGTTTGGTTGATCAAATCCAACTCATGTCAAGAGCATTTAATTGTTATTTCTATTAATTAGATTTTTGCCCATCTGTATCAAGGGATACAATCTAGTTCAAGTTTTAGATTAGATTAACAGAGTTGGAAGGGACCTTATAGGTCACCTAGTCCAACCCTCCACCCAAGCAGGAGACCATACACCATTTCTGACAAATGGCAGTTCAATCTCTTTCTGAAAGCCTCCAGTGATAAAGCTCCCACAACTTCCGAAGGCAAGCTATTCCATTGGTTGATTGCTCTCACTGTCAGAAAGTTTCTCCTTATTTCTAGGTTGAATCTCTCCTGGATCAGTTTCCATTTATTATTCCTTGTCTGGCCTTCAGTGCCCTGGAAAATAGTTTGGAACCTTCCCCTCTGTGGCAGCTCCTCAAATATTAGAATATTGCTATCATGTCTCCTCTGGTCCTTCTCTTCACTAGACTAGCCATGCCCAGTTCCTGTAACCGTTCTTCATATGTTTTAGTCTCCAATCCCCTAATCATCCTGGTTGCTCTTCTCTGCACTTTTTCTAGTCTCAACATCTTTTTTATAGTGTGGGGATCAAAACTGGATGCAATATTCTAGGTGTGGTCTTACTAAGGCTTTATAGAGTGGTATTAGTACCTCACTTGATCTTGATTGTATCCCTCTGTTAATACATTTTAGGATTGCATTGGCTTTTTTGGCTGCCGCTGCACACTGCTGGCTCATATTTAGCTAGTTGTCCACTAAGACTCCAAGATCCCTCTCACAGTTACTGCTATTAAGCCTGGTTTCACCCAGTCTATTTTTGGTTTTTCTTGCCTAAGTGTAAGACTTTACTTTTCTCTACATTGAATTTCATTTTGTTAGATAGGGCCCAGTGTTTAAGTCTGTCAAGATCCATTTTGATCTTGAGCCTATCATCTAGGGTATTAGCTATTCCTGCCGGCTTAGTATCATCTGCAAATTTGGTGAGTTCCCCTTCTATTTCCTCATCTAAGTCATTTATGAAGATATTGAAGAGTACTGGATCTAAGACGGAACTTTGTGGTACCCCACTGCTTACTTCCCTCCATGTAGACATAGACCCATTAAGGACTACTCGTTGAATATGTTTGTCAGCCAGTTATGAATCCATCTGGTGGTGATATTATCTATCCCACTTTTTTTTAGCTTACCAAGAAGTAGGTTGTGGTCGAATGCCTTGCTGAAGTCTAAGTATATTATGTCCACAGTATTTCACTGGTCTACTAATTTAGTCACTATGTTGAAGAATGAAATAAGATTGGTTTGGCATGATCTGTTTTTAACAAACCCATGCTGACTGCTAGTTATTACTTTACCCATTTCTAGATGTTGGCAATCTGTTCTTTTCCAGTATCTTCCTGGGTATTGATGTTAGCCTGATTGGTCTGTATTTCCTAGGTCTGTTTTTTCCCCCTTTATTGAAGATGGGAACCACATCAGCCCTTTTCCAACCCTTAGGTACTTCCCTGGTGCTCCAGGATGTTTGAAAGATATGGTACAGTGATTCTGAGATGACATCTGCCAGCTCCTTTAAAACTCTGGGATGTAATCCATCAGGTCCCGGTGATTTGTATTCATCAAGATCAGACAGGTGTTCTCTTATTATTTTTTGTTGTTGCTTATTTTAACTTTTATTTCTAGTCTGTCTTTTACAGTTATGTTTTTGGTAGGTTGGGCCATAGTTTCTTTTTGCGTGAAGACCAATGCAAAGAATGAGTTAAGCAGCTCTGCTTTCTCTCTGTTGCCTGTTACTTCCTTGCCATCTTCTCTCTTTAGTGGACCAACTGTTTCTTTGATTTTTTTCTTATTATTTATATGTTGGAAGAAACTTTTTTTATTATCTTTGACTTCAAGTCTTTGTTCATTCTGAGACTTTGCTTTCCTTACTTCGTCTTTGCAGATTCTGGCTATCTGCTGATATTCACCTTAGTTGTGGGTGAGGTACTAATACCACTTGGTACCACTAATACCAAGCCTTAGTAAGACTACACCTAGAATACCGCATCCAGTTTTGGTCACCACACTATAAAAAAGATGTTGAGACTCTAGAAAGAGTGTAGAGAAGAGCAGCCAAGATGGATAGGGGACTGGAGGCTAAAACATATGATGAATGGTTGCAAATACTCTGTCAGTGTATGAGAAATTATGAGCTGGGATAGCCATAACAACAAGTGCAATAGCAAGTGCTATTGCTTAGCACATTGTAAGCCGCCCTGAGTCTCTGGAGAAGGGCGGCATATAAATCAAATTAAAAAAAAAAAAGTCAGCCAATGGGAACTGTTTGACATTGCAAGAGCTACATGAGTATTGTATACATGCATCATGTTTTATATTATTGTATATAAACAAGTTTCTTCTATAAATGAATCCTGCTGAATTATTTACTTGTGTGCTGGTTGGATTGCTGCAAACTCTGAAATACTCGGCATGACTAGTCTAGTGAAGAGAAGGACCAGGGGAGACATGATAGCAGTGTTCCAATATTTGAGGGACTGTCACAGAGTGGAGGGGGTCAACCTATTTTCCAAAGCACCTAAAGGCTATACAAGGAATAATGGATAGAAACTGATCAAGGAGAGATGCAACCTAGAAATAAGGAGAAATTTACTGACAGTGAGAGCAATCAACCAATGGAACAGCTTGCCTTCAGAAGTTGTGGGAGCTTCATCACTGGAAGCTTTCAAGAAGAGATTGGACTGCCATTTGTCCGAAATGGTGTAGGGTCTCTTGCTTGGGCAGGGGGTTGGACTAGATGACTTACAACAGTGTTTCCCAAACTTGACCCTTTGAAGATGTATGGACTTCAACTCCCAGAATTCCTTAACCAGGCATACTGGTTGGGGAATTCTGGGAATTGAAGTCCATGCATCTTAAAATAGCCAAGTTTGGGAAACACTGACTTACAAGATCCCTTCCAACTCTGCTAATCTGTTAATAAAGTTGAAGTTATATACAACAGTTTACTGAACTTGGTAATATTTACTTAAAAAGAACACTGGGACTTACTGCCTACAAAAGATTTGTATTATACAAGATGTATGATGCAATCAACTGCATTTAATGTCTCTTATAATAACAGTGAATTATGTGTTTGTATTGTATTAAATTGTCAGGTGCAAAACACCAGGACCGCATCTGAAGGTGCAATTAAATTGATTTAGTGCTTAAAAGGCTATGCACCAGAAACTTTTCAACGAACAGCACATGCTTTGTGCTAGATGAAGGTCAACGGAAATCAAGGGGAGTTGGATTTAGTCTACTTGTGGCTACATAGACATTCTAGGCTGATAGCTCTTTTAACTTCACTTTCAAGTTCAGATTAATATTGATTTTTGTGTGAAAGAAAGTGCTTTGGAAAGATAAAGAAAAAAGAACACAAATAAATGGCCTAGAAAAAGATAGAGCAAACAAATCAGATTAAATATCTGATCAAAAAGCTGCCATGAGTCTTTAAATACTTGGGGCCACATTCCAGTATTTCCAGTATCAATGGAAAAATGCACATAATTGGGAAGAGCATAGGTGTAAATACTATGCATGCTTAAAATGACTGCATATGGATAGAAAAAAAGAGAGGCAAATAACTTTTTATTAAAAAAATAAATAAAAAGTAATATACAATATGCTATGAGCTAAGAAGACAGAACCACAAATTATATAAAACCATCATGTGGTCAGATGAGCACACATTCAAAATGAGAAAAAAATGAAGCAAAGTGAAGAATAAATATTGTGAGATTATTTAAATAATTACAGTTTTCCAAAATTTTATAACTTAAAAAAAAATGAAATTTTATTTCATTTTAGTCTAATATTAAGATGGAACATGGTGGGTATCTGAGGAAGAACAGCATCTTGTTAATTTTGAACCACACTTTAATTTGTGGTGGTAAATTCCTATTGTTTTTGCTAATTTAAAATTTAACATATAGAATACATTTATAAAAAGGAAGACTAACCCATATTAATGTTCATGTTTCACTAATAAAATTCCTATGATATAATCCTATGTTTTTTATAAAACCACTAAGAGTGTTATATAAATCCACTGCCATGTAATTACCATTCACCATCTGTTTCACGAGCGCCTCACATGATCTATTGGCATCTTGAAGCTTCCTGTACTTGTCAGGTTTTTCTCTTTCTATGATCTGTAACATGATGAAAAAGTTGAACATTTCATATGAAACACTTTTCAAAGTTTGACCAACAGAAACCTTGATTAGATAAATATGGTTTTAAAAGAAATTGTATTGTCCTCGACAAATCTGAAAAATATTGCTATATTTAAATATTCATGATATTTTCAGTCCATACAAACTTAGATTATTCCTCGTTTATCTAAATTTCCACCTTTTTGCCTGGTTAATCAGATTCTGCAAATTAATCAAATATGAAATATTTAATGACTCCTTTAAATGTCCTTTTTATTAATGTTTTAAAGCAGTAATTATACTTAATCTAAGCAGCAATAATAAACTATTACTGAAACCACTGCTTCCTCCATATAGTAATAGCTTATAACTTTTATTGAGTATTAAATGCAACATGTTGCTGCTTTGCATTTGTTGCATCTAATTCATACTACATCTACCTGCACTTTAACCCCATGAGTACTACATGAATGTTTTATGAAGAATTGATGGGAGGGTAGATATTGCATAGCTGCACAATTTCTCTGAAACAAGGCTCTCAGCACATGTGAGTACATATCAGTACCTCTCTCCGAATTATTAAAAACTCAGTGTTCAGAAGTTGCCCCCTTCTGCTTCCAATTACATGTGCACGGATTGCCATTTTACATGCAGAGAGAGAGAGAGCTGGAAGCCACTAAAAAGCAATTGCCCAAATTTGGAAAGGATAATTTGGAAATGATTGCACAATTTTGTGCAATAAAATAATATAATTTATTTTGAGAAATAAATTATATTTTTATATGTATTTTTAAATGTATTTTTAAAAAGGTTGGACTCTTCTAACATACAAGATCGTTCAAAAGTGTGTACGTGGAAATTTACACTTTTCATAATTTCATACTATAATTAACAATAAGCATATTACTGCACAGAATTTTAAAATACTATTTAAAAGTAAACTGGATAAACATAGTATTGTATAAAATATTTAGGCAAAATGTACATTATTGAATAATATGCACACAATTATAGCTTATTATAAAGTGTCTTGAAAATTGTACACTGAGAAAATACATGTGTTAGGATGTATGAAAGTACATGTATACCAGTATTTGTGCATACTCTTGATATGAAAAAGAAAAATCCTAAGAAATGTCCATGTAAATGAAAAGATACTATTAGTCATTCCTAATCCTAGAATATTATTTTGTTCATTTTGGCCAAACATCCAAATAATAACAGTTTACAGTTTAACACTCAAACATAACTAGTTATATATAATTGCTACTCCAGAAAAGACTGTTTTGACTCCTGTGATAAGCATCTAGCAACATATAAGATTTTGGTAAGAGCCGTGGTAGTGCAGTGGTTAGAATGTAGTACTGCAGGCTACTTCTGCTGACTGCCAGCTGACTGCAATTTGGCAGTTCAAATCTCACCAGGCTCAAGGTTGACTCAGCATCCCATCCTTCCAAGGTGGGCAAAATGAGGACCCATGAGGACCCAGATTGTTGGGGGCAATATGCTGACTCTGTAAACCGCTTAAAGAGGGCTTTAAAGCACTGTGAAACAGTGTATTGCTAAGTGCTATTGCTATTGCTATTGGTTCAGTAAATTTTTCTTCAAGTCATACATTCTCTTCCTGCAAGGAAGTCTTCAGACTAGATATTGGTCCTTAATCGCCATCATTCATCTGTATTTGCATTTGCATAATTGCAAAAATTGCAATTGGCTCAACAAATAACTGTTGTAGGTTCTGGGCTTTGCAGAAACCTTTACTCAAGCTCAAACAACTGCAAATAAATCATTCTTTTAGAACCCTCATGGGATTTCCAGAGATCAAGAAGACTGCTGGCACTGCATGTATGACCATGTCTTTTCTCAAATCCTTCTATATTTCTTTTTGGGTTTTGTAAAATAGAAAAACAAAATATGAAAGAACAGAATCAATACAGATTTGGGGAAAAAATTCTGAAGTGGACTTATAGTTATATTATGGAATACAAGAATTATTACCAGTTGAAGTTCTTTTCTTGATCTAATTTAATGTAACACGTTCTATTTCTTGATATGTGTACATGTAGATTCAAATGCACATGCATACATACACATTGTTTAGCAATCCATATGACTAAAATATTGGTGTAAACTTCTAATTTGCAGTATATTTTTACTAACTACTCTCCAAGAATATGAATTAGAAAATAGTTGTAAGTAGATAAGGAAAAATTGTATAACAATGAAATCGTAGATGAATGCAACATGATCAGATAGTACAAGAAATCAGCCACTTGAACTTTTTAAGGCTGTTCAAAACAAAAGATAACTGCAGTGTCAAAGACAATTACATAGCATTGCCAGGGAATATTCTCCAAATTCCAAGTTAGAGGTAAAATCTCAGAAAAATAGAAAAAGGTTTTCTGAGTATCTTCTAAGAAATGTCATAAATATGAAGGATTGTTTATGAAATAAGCTAAAGTTAATTTCTCCTTTACTAACTTAAACATAGTTTTCAAAACAAAATTCCTACAATTTTGCAGAGAAAAAAGTGTATACCAAAGGTGGGGGGGGGGAGGTTTTAAAATGGAACAATTAAAAGGACTTCAGAAAGCTGAGCATTTTAAAAATGCATATTAATATGACTCAATCATATCTCAGCATTTTATATTTTATAAAGATCTTCTGTCTGTAAACATTCTTTTATTCAAATGTCATACTGACAAGTTATATTTTTTCTCAAATATATGACATTATTGACTTTTGGGAAGCAAGGCTTATATTTTATAGCAGTCACTGAATACACCTACCAGTATTGCATTATGTATATTTTAGGATAGGATGATAGCAAACTATTGCTATTGCTTATTGCTTAGGGCATTGTAAGCCGCCCTGAGTCTCCGGAGAAGGGCGGCATATAAATCAAATTTAAAAAAAAAAAAAACCTAAAGCATGAGCATTTATGCATACTTTATCAATATATTTCAAATCTGAAATTAATCTACAGCTATTTATCAAATGGAAATACACAGTAAAACCTGAAACGGATAACGTACTAGTTCTACAAACATTATATAAATTAAGTAAATATATTTTTCTCCTTACATTAACTTTTTCTCTGAGATCAGATAGGTTTCCTTCTTTTCTATATATTGCAAACTCAGGACTCTGTAGTACAGCTTCTGAACGAGTCATCCAACTGTGAAGTTCTGTCGTATCAACATCAAATCTAAGGTAAGAAGAAAAAAGCTGTGTTTTGTTGTTCTTGTTTTATAAAAAGTAACAGAGAACAAGATGTTAAAATAATAAAAAAGATTTAAAACTATTTCATTCAAAATCTAAACTGCATATAAAGCAATTTCAACTCTAAATAATATTCTGTTTTCCATGCATATTTAAAATATTATTTGAGTTGACATAAGAAACCAAAGGTAATATATAAAACAGAACAGGGATATGATAAAAGCAAATATATTTACAGAGACAGAAATATATGTATAAATAATATGAACATTTAGATACAAGTTAACTTTTTTCTTTTTTATTTCTTTTTTTTTTTAGCTTATTTCTTCATCTGTGGCTTATAGTATATAATGTTACTTAAAGAAAATAGTGTGATGGGCATGAATAATGTATTTGTTAATCTAAAAATAATAATATATAAAGTATGGCATTGTGAAGATGTCAAGAATGGTCATAGTATTTGTTTGTTAAAACAAAATAATTTTATTTAGAAGTATATCTACTTAACAATAATAGTCAATAGTTTTTATTATGTCACTCCTTGTAGGTTTGATCTCAACCTAGTTTATATGGATTTCTGGATACTTTGTCCAATTATGACTCTGTAAATTAACATTCCTTTTTTTTTCAGCTGGAGGATATTGTCCATTTAAAAGAGGTGGTGGTAATGCTCTTGCTTATCTTTTATCCATGCTTTTTTTTTTTAAATTAGCTGTTTCTTTTTCATGTTTAGCTAAGCTGGTAAAGAAAGTGGTAGCTTTGAGCTACAGGACATGCAGATAATACGTTTTGGTCTAGATTTGGCATGAATAAAAATTTTATCACCCTGGTGCTTGATCTATAGAGGAGGCGAGAAAGAGGTAATGGGACATCTCTGTGTCTTTTGGTAGTGTTGCCAATGTATCTTCCTGGGCATTTGTAGATTTTTTTTCTTTCTGTTCCTATTTCTCTCATTCCTGTCAAAAGATGTACCTAAGAAACTTCTGTTCTTCAGAGTTGTTCCTAATTTTAGGGACACAATTTAGGATTAAAGCCTGTTCTCACTGGGGATGTACTTCTTAAGGACCAGATTGCAGTAAGGAGGTCCCTGGGATCCCTATTAATGATGAATAGCCAGAAATTATCAGCAAATGGAGAGGAGGGGTTTGCTTTTTTTTTTGAGTGATAGGTGATAAACCTGTACTGGAATACAAAATTATTAATGTTATACAGTTAATTATTGTAACAGATAATTTGCAGAAACTTAAAATAATGTAGTAAGGGCAGGGTGGTCTAAAACGTAGAGGTATCGAGAATAAGTAGTGTTGCCAAGATCCTACATCATCTATATGTTATAATAAGATTGACTTCAAAGCCAATTCCAGGTGTTTACAAGTGACTACTATATATTGTATAAGCAACTTAGTATCAAGATTTTAGGACTGCCTATTTCCACACACTAAATCCTACATTCTTAGAACATTAATAAGGCAGCTATTATAGGACCTGCTGCACATAAATATTATCAAGTTATTTTAATTGTATTTCTGAAACTCATTCTGAGCTGTTAAAGGAATTCATTTTTAAATTTATTATTAAATTTCTTTGCTGCTCATCTCACTGCAAGGCGGATAGCATAGACAGAATAACTTTTTTTTCAAATTAATACATGACTGATTCACTAATTAGAATGAAAAACTGTGCATAACAATTTATATCTGTAGTGCTACAATGTTTGAGAAAAATAATTCTTTGATTTTTTAAAAAAGTCAAAGTTCCTACAGAGTATTCTTTATTAAAAGAAAGAGAAAGAGAAAAGGAGAAATAGACAGTGCAGGATGCAGACTGATATTTAACAACAACCCGATGAATAAATATAAATATTAGCCCAGTTAATTTATTCAGGGAAAAAATGGTGCATCATTACAGAGAAAGCTTAGAATGGATTTGGTGGAGACATACAGATTTAGTTTTAGTACCATTCAATGATACAATGATTTTACTACCTCTCCTAGATTGTTTCTTTTTTTCTTTTTTTTATCCCTCCTCCCCCTACCCCCCCATCCCTCTTCCACCCATGTAGCATCATCACATTCGCATCTCCAACACTTAGGTTGCAAACTTGGATACATACAGGCTAGCTTTTTAGGGTCTAGATGCCATCTATAAAACATTTTATAAAAATTCTCTCTTAAGTTTTGGGCTTGCGTAAACTTTACATTTCTAACCCATATTTTTTCCCACGTTTCCATCATTATTGGTTCTTCAATATTCTGTGCCCATTTTATCATACAATCCTTAACTAGCTCTGTTTCTGAATCTATTTCTACTAATGCATTATACAACCTTTTTATATGCATTTGACTTTGGTCTCTAATTTGTTTTACCAAGTTCTCCTAATTTTGCAAGATACCAACTTTCTGATCTTCTCTCCATCTAGCTTGCAACTGTCCATACTGAAACCATGTTTGAATTATCCTTTCTTCTCTTAATTGATTCAAAGATTATAGTTGTAGTATACCTTTTTCCTTATTAAGAAGCTCCTTATAAGTAGTCACATCTTGTTTTTGCTCTACACTTATATTCTTTATTGCATGTCTGGGTATTGCCCACATTGGTAACTTATCATTTAATTTATACTGATACTTTTTCCAGACACGCAATAAAGCATTCCTTAATATGTGACTTTTAAAAGTCTCATCCAATTTCTTATCATATAATAAATAAGCATGCCAACCGTAGACCAAATCATATCCCTCAATATTCAATATTCTTTCTTCTGTTGAATTCATCCAGTCACTAATTGCTGATAGAGCAGCTGCCTCATAATATAATCTTAAATTGGGCATTTTGAGACCTCCTCTTTCACGTATATCCTGCATTAATTTTTACTTTATTCTCAGTCTCTTTCCTGCCCAAACAAAATTATTAATACCCTTCTGCCATATCTTCAAATTTTCATCTTTTTTAAGTATTGGTATCATTTGAAAAAGAAATAAAAACTTAGGCAAAACATTCATTTTTACTGCTGCTATTCTTCCAAACAAAGATAATTGTAATTTTTTTTCCAGTTTTCCATCTCTCTCTGTACTTTTTGCCACAACGGATCATAATTATGCTTAAATAATTTCGCATTTGATGTCATGATATAAACCCCTAAATACTTAACTTTTTTTACTACTTCAAATCCTGTTAGTCTTTCTAATTCATCTTTTTGATTTATAGTCATGTTTTTAGTTATTATCTTTGTTTTCCCTGCATTTATTTTAAATCCAGATACTTGTCCATATTGATTAATTATATCCATTAAACCTACAACCAACTGTAATGGTTGGGTTAAAGTAACAACCACGTCGTCTGCAAATGCTCTTAATCTGTAATCATATTGCCTAATTTTAATTCCACTTATTTTATCTGACCCGCGTATTTTACTCAACAAAAATTCCAAAGTCAAGATAAACAATAATGGAGACAAGGGACATCCTTGTCTTGTTCCTTTTTCTATATTAAAAGTATCTGTTAAACTACCATTAATTATTATTTGTGCTGTTTTTTTCTGATATGTTGCCTTAATAGATTGCCTTAATGGATATAATACATAGATTGTGTAAAATATTCTCCAAATTGCATCTTTTCTATTATTTTCAATAAGAAATGCCAATTCAATCGATCAAATGCTTTCTCCGCATCAAGAAATATTAGCACCGCAGGGATTTGGTTGTTCTTTCCTAAATACTCTAATAGGTTAACAACTTGCCTTACATTGCTCTTCATTTGTCTACCATTTATAAAACCAGTTTGATCCTTATGAATCATTTGTTGCATGACTGTCATTAACCTATTTGCTAGTATTTTAGCAAAAATCTTGTAATCTGTATTTAAAAGTGTTATAGGCCTATAATTTTTTGGCTGAGTGTGGTATTGCTCCTCCTTTGGAATCAGAGAAATAAAAGCTGTCCTCCAGGATAGGGGTACATCTCCTCCAGATTGTATATTAGTAAATAATTCTTTAAGTGGTCCCACCATTTCTAACTGCAAGTGTTTATAATAAGCGGCTGTCAAACCATCCATCCCAGGGGCTTTACCCACTTTCAACTGCTTAATTGCACACATAATTTCCTCAGAGGTTAACGGTTGATTTAAACTCTCCCTTTGCTCTTTTGTAATTATAGGAATATTCTTTTTCTGTAAATATCTATCTATATCTATATTTTGAATTTTATCACTAGCATACAACCTCGTATAAAATTCTAAAAATGTTTTCTTAATCATATTTTGCTGATAAACTACTTTACCTTTATATTCTATTTTCTCTATAGTCTATGACTTTTGTTTTTTCCTTAACAGATATGCTAACCATCTCCCTGGTTTGTTAGCATTGCAAAAAATATTGTGTTTAGCATATTGCAAGTTAGTTGCAACCTGATTTGCCATTAACATATTAAATTGCCCTCGCAGTACATTAATTGCCTCTTTTATTTTCTTGTCTGCTGGGTTCAATATCAAAGCTTGTTCTTTTTTTTTTAATTTCCTCTTCTAAGTCCTTCCTTTTTTCCCGCTGTTTATGTCTGTTTATTATTCAGATATATCAAAATATCTCTCATATATGCTTTACTTGCGTCCCAAACCATTTCCATAGATGTACCCTTATGCATATTCATAATGAAAAATTCTTTCATAAAATTTTTACATTCTTTTACATTTTCCTCATATCTAAACAGATTTTCATTTAACCTCCAAGACCTCTTAAATCCCTTTCCATACTCTAATTCCAAACTGGACTATGATCCGTTAAAACTCTTGGACAAATCTTCATCTTCTTCACCCTAGAAAAGAGATCATTAGTAATTAATATAAAATCAATCCTAGAGAAAGATTGATGTCTATCAGAAAAGAAAGTAAAATCTTTTTCTTCAGAATTCCTCTCTCGCCAAATATCTCTCAACTCCATATCATCCATCATCTCAAAAAACGATTTTGGCAATCTGGCACGCGTTGAGATATTTT